CTAATCTTGTCATAGCCGCCCGGGATCTATGGGACAGTTGTAAATGGTTATTAGTGTGAGTGAAATTAAATGCTGGTATCCTCTCTCGTACGCCCATGCACATGTCAATATCTTGATAGCTATATCAATTTCACTACACGAATTTTACAAAAACATACTCTTGTTTTGATAAAAATTAAAGTTAGTTTACGCTGTCTGATTTTGATTCTGAAAAAATATTTGAATTCAGCAGAAAAATGACTGAAGATCGTACGAAACATTTTCCGTTTTTAATATTAATTTTAATTTTAATTATGTTTCGAAAAAGTTGATATTTTAAAGTTTTCAATTATAGTTCACAATAATATAAAATTTAGTTTTTACAAAGTGCTTATTAGACAATTTTCTGGTGAGTTCAAATTTTTTTTCAGAATCAAAATCGGACAACGTTACTAACTTTAATTTTGTCAATACTTTAGGTCTTTTCAGCTAAAATAAACAGCAGTAGCGAGGCCCCTTAATAAAGTTAGTTAATTGTCTCAGACTAATTGTGTACATGAATTATATAATATTATGTATATATTATAAAAAAAATTGTACCTATATTTTTGATTATTTTTTAATTACTGTAGGTACGTATGAAGCACCTTGTATTATAATATAACAATTATTAAGGGGGTTGGAGCGATCTATTTTCTATGGTTGCAGCATACCATATTTTAAGGAGTAATATTTAGGCAGTTTATATTACATGTATATTTGAACGGTGTCATTATGTGATTAGTGAATGGACACTACATAGTGTGTGTCCTTATCGATCATTAGGCTAATAACAATGATAACATGTCGTCTACGATTCTAGACGAAGAACACAAGCACACGCATGCACTTGTCACCAAATTGAACTTTTACATTTTTCCGTTTTTAAATCGGTACAAAATAGCTATAAGAGAAATATTTATTTAGTTACTTCCCATGACCCGATTTAAATTTTGAAAATATTTCTGTATTCGATAACTTTTTTCCTAGGTTATGTAGGAAAATGAATTAATGTTTTAAAACTAAATGTAAGTGTATAAATTAAAAATACTTTCATAATTGATTAGAGAGTTAACATATTTTTTAAGCCTTATTTAATACAAAAATCAAAAATCTGTTTCCTACATAACCAAGAAAAGAGGATGATGAGTTCATACGTATTTTTAAAATAATAATCGGCCACCAGGTAGTACATAAACCAATCTTCCTCTTATTGGTCTAAAACTACAAAAAATACGGTGTGCTCTAACCGCCTTAATAATTTTATCTACCTACATATTAGTTCATAGTAAAAAATATATTATATTCCAGCACTTTAAATGTCTATAGGCTATACAAATAATTGTTGTGCATTATAATAACAAAAACGTATTTGATAGTCCTTTATTATTAACTGCATATTAAATCCTAATGATGTACCTACACTGCAGTGGCATAACTCCAAGGTGCTAGGGTGTGCTTAACACCTCCCACTTAACTTTAAGCACCCCCAAGTTCCATGTCTTTGTAATTTCCATAGAACTTTTACTTGTAGACCGACCCATCCTATACCTAAAGTATTTATAGTCGTTAGCCGACATAGGGTAGTAATCTAGCCCTTATAAATGTATATTAAAATATGAAAATATGTGACTATAAATAGATATGTTTTTTACTGTATCAGAGTAACTCAGTAACCGAAAAGCACCAACTATCATGACTCGGTGGAAATATGAAGTGCAGGGCCGGTCTATTAGTAAAAGGTCCATGGTAATTTCAAATATCTATAGTTTTAATAATGTAATTTTACTTTTAAGAATTTTTTTTTCTCATCTTGTTTCTGATTAAATTTATTTAAATTTCAATTTCAATTTTGTTACCGAAAACCGAACGACGGCGTCGGCTACGAGTGCAGTTCATATTTGAATATTTCTTCAATAAAATATATTAGATCTATTACGTATGTAAGTACCAATTGAATATATAATAAATTACTAAATAATAATAATAGCTCATTGATCTGATGTGAGCCGTAAGGAATTTATTATTTTTTATAATAACATAAAACATTAATGTAATTTTTGGAGTCAGCTGGCCGACAATTACTATTCATTTAGAACCATGTAATATTTTACCTATGCATAATTTACCTACGTAATATTTATTTTCTGTCCAGAAATTAGCAGAGTAATACGGACGACTGTCGTCACAATGTCATATTTCTACAATTTAAACCTTTCATGATTTTTACATGTTAACACGAAGTTGACAACATATTATTAAAATTCTATCGAAATAATATTAATTGTCAACGTGTACTGACGTGTACAACATGTATTATTGATATACGACTATCCGAGCTACGAGGCATATTTCAATATTCGTTTAACCTATATTATATACTGAACTTTTATATACAAAATCATATTATTTATTCTTTAAAAATCTATCTGTAGCTCTATCTGTACCCTGTGTCTATGTGATGTGGATCGGTTCATAAAATGCCTCTGATATAAAATGCATACTTAAGTATTGCATAGAATCGTCTTGCAAATCGTCGAATGCAATGATTTTTTTTGAAAGGATTCAAAATAGACTTCATCATAAATTCAAATGTTTTCAAAATTATTTTAGGAGTAAAACTCAAGTTAGTACGTTGGAACGCGTATAGGTCTATTTTACTCTAAAAAGCGGTAGTGTGGAATCCCCTTAAGAGATTTGTTAGGAGTTATAGACATAATATAGGTACCTACTCAGTATACAGTACTATAAATTAAAATCCAAAACGGCTACATTCGGGAAGACCGAAATTATTATTAATAGGGTCATTGAATCATTTAAAAATATGACAACAGATAAGGCATTTTCAGAATTATGGTTAAAAATCGTAAAATTGTTTGAAAATATTATATATTGTTGAAAGTTCCGATCCATGACCCATGTAGTTAGAGGTAGCTTCTATGTTCATTCTACGACTATGATATTTAATTCAAACTATTTAAAACTTTACGTGATGGACAGAAATTAATAACATTTTTAAAATCAGCATGAAAAAAAACATAAAAATCAGTTGTTTAATTTTAAACAACAAAACCTTTGGAGGTCGGTGTAGTTCATTACAACTGTATTACCTATTGTAAAACCAATCGGTGTAAATGCAAAAATTCTGGTTGACTTTGTAACTCAAAGTGCCATAATAGTTGTGTATGTGATAATAATTAATAAAGTACCTATAATGCTATCCTATATGTGCCTAACATTACTTTTTACTTTTTAGTAATAATTCATAAAACTATTAAAATAACCATGACAAATTATTATATTTGTCATGATAATAACTATAATTTAAAAATAATCAATAATATTCACCAATCTTATTCATTTAAAACCACTTTTATATAAAAATATAAATTCTTGAGTTCTTCAGTAGGTAGGAGGCAGTTAGTATACTTGTCTATCACCACAGGGCACAGAACAATATCACGGTCCATCACTTGTCTATCTTAAAGTTTAAACCATGTTGTCTATCTACCATATTTGATAATAGATTTAAAAACTATTAATAGACAACTAATATTTGAAGTTTCTATTAATTCAAGTTTTTTGTATGATATGTGGTAAATGCGGTGGTCAGTAGTCAGTATGGCACAGAATAGAATAAGGTCGGTGGCATTAATACACTTGGTATTTTTAGTTTGTTTCACCGGTAACACTGTTGTCACAGTCGATTACGATAAGACTATTGATAATATTTGTTTTTATTATTATTATGACAATATAATTATTTATGACTATTGTTTAATGTTTTTGATTTTAATTTTTTAGGACTACCTAAATAATTTATTAAGATAATAATTTAAAAAGACAATTGTGAGTTGATTGAAAATTTATTGTTGCACTTAACAATATGTATACTAATAATTACGTTATAACATTATTTAAAATAATTTAAACTTCAACGCTTTAGAAGTATAAACATCACTATTATACTATAATACTATTATATTATTAAACTGTTATAAAATAGACTGCAAAAATTGAAGGTATAGTTCAACAAGTTTATAATATTATATTATTGTATTAGAATTGGTTAAGACACGCATATAATATTATTGCTTCCAAAGTGAATGACCTAATTCAAATATTTAAGATTCTATTTTAAATTAATATTATTTTGAAACATATTGTAGATATTAAAAATAAATACACATAACATTTCTTAAATATGCAAGACTAACACCAAAATACTTCATTATTAGTTTGAAACTTGATAACATAGGACTTATAAGTCGTAAAACTTCTTTTATAGTTTTTATATATCTATGTAGTGTATTAATATTTCTACCATTTTGTTTAATTGCATTGTGTACTTTTTATTTATTTTTATACTTATACAATGTTATTGATTGAGAATACACATTATAATAATAATAATAATAATAAAATAAATAACCATTTATTCGGTATACTCACTTATATGTTCTAAATTCTAATATCTGATTTATTAAAACAATAATACACAGCATACTAATACATTTTAAAATGCTTGTAAAAATAGTTTTAGTTAATATTAATAAATATATTGAACTAGGTATTATAATAGTTTATACCGGAAGTTCTAAGTAAAAAAAAATAATAAAAAAAATTAATAAATATGGATTATCACATTAAAATTAAAACAATTACTAATTGATAATCGTGCAATTTACTTCTAGAATTGATAGTTACTAATATATATTTTCATGTAAGTATACAGTTGAAATTTCATTTATGTTTTAATATCAATTAGTTAAAAAATTAATACCTACTTATTTTAATTGTTGGTATATAAATTAGTACATTTAGTAGGTATACAAATACAAATGTTTTCAGTGATAATTATTAACAAAATCTAAGATTGTAAGAATGATTATTGTATTGTTTTTTTTCCAGGTACGTGGGATTGGTGTTCCCCACCCGTGCATCTCTTTTCATCCCTTGGTGCACGGTCAACTGCACTACATATGGGTCCAATGGAGCCAGATTCGCCTCTGCCTAATCGGCTAACACACGTCTCAGATAAACATCCGAGATGTATGTTAGCCGAATTTAGTTCTATGCGTCGTCATCGTGAATTATGTGATGTTGTTCTCAATATTAACAATCGAAAAATATTCGCTCACCGTAACATTTTATCTGCATGTAGTCCATACTTCAGGGCTATGTTTAATGGAGATCTAGCTGAATCTCGACAAACAGAAGTCACTATACGTGATATGGATGAAATAGCAATGGAACTTTTAATTGAATTTTGTTATTCCGCTCGAATCACAGTAGAAGAATCTAATGTCCAAACTCTTCTTCCAGCTGCTTGCCTATTGCAATTAACTGAAATACAGGATATCTGTTGTGAGTTTTTAAGGAGACAACTTGATCCATCAAATTGCCTCGGTATCAGAGCATTTGCAGATACACATTCTTGCCTTGATCTTTTACGTGTTGCCGATAAATATACACAGCATAATTTTCAAGAAGTTATGGAAAGTGAGGAATTTCTGCTTCTTCCAGTTACACAACTAATCGATTTAATTGCCAGTGATGAACTTAATGTGAGAACAGAAGAGCAAGTGTTCAGTGCAGCAATGTCTTGGGTCAAGTATAATATTTCTGAACGAAGACAGAACCTTCCTCAAGTACTCCAGCATGTACGATTACCTTTGTTAAGTCCTAAATTTCTAGTTGGCACAGTAGGAGCAGACTTATTAGTTCGTAGTGATGAAACGTGTAGAGATCTTGTTGATGAAGCAAAAAACTATTTACTCTTACCACAAGAACGACCTTTAATGCAAGGACCACGAACTCGACCTCGTAAACCTACTCAGAGGGGTCAGCTTTTATTTGCTGTTGGAGGTTGGTGTAGTGGAGATGCTATAGCTTCAGTTGAACGTTATGATCCACAAACGGAGGATTGGAAGTTACAGGCACAAATGAGTAAGCGAAGATGTGGAGTTGGAGTAGCTGTGCTTAATGATTTATTGTATGCAGTCGGTGGACACGATGGTCAATCTTACCTTAACAGTATAGAACGATATGATCCTCAGACCAATCAATGGTCATGTGATGTGGCTCCTACAACTTCATGTCGAACAAGTGTTGGAGTGGCTGTTTTAGATGGTTTGCTATATGCAGTTGGAGGTCAAGATGGTGTACAATGTTTAAGTCATGTTGAACGATATGACCCTAAGGAAAATAAGTGGAGTAAAGTGGCCCCTATGACAACGAGAAGATTAGGTGTTGCTGTGGCTGTGCTAGGAGGTTATTTGTACGCAATTGGTGGTTCAGATGGACAATCACCATTAAGTTCTGTCGAACGTTATGATCCAAGACAGAATAAATGGACAGTTATGGCACCAATGTCAACAAGAAGGAAACATTTAGGATGTGCTGTTTATAAAGACATGATATACGCAGTTGGAGGACGCGATGATTGCATGGAATTAAGTAGTGCTGAAAGATATAATCCTCATACAAATTCATGGTCTCCAATAGTTGCCATGACATCTCGGAGAAGCGGTGTAGGCTTAGCTGTTGTTAATGGACAACTGTATGCGGTTGGTGGATTTGATGGTACAGCATACCTAAAAACAATTGAAGTATATGATCAGAGTCAAAATCAGTGGCGGCTTTGTGGTACAATGAACTATAGACGACTCGGAGGCGGTGTTGGAGTAATGAGATCACCTCAAACGGATAACAATTTTTAAACTATTTCAGATTACCAAGTCTGTTTATTTTATTATATAATTGATAAGGTAGATTTATTGTTTAATGTTTATATTGCCTGGTCACAAATTATAATATACCCCAGTGATATTCTACTCTACTCAGTCACTGAGATGTGTTATAATTTGAGAGAGATCATGATTTTTTTTAAGTGCTATTGTAGGAGTTTTTTTTTTAGTAATACAATGCAACTTAAAAATATACCAATTGTAACTTAAAGCTTTTAATGTAATTTATTTAATGTATTATTCACAAATAAATTGATAATACAAACAATATGTGTAAATTGAATTTGATAAAAATATATATATACTAAAAAAAAGATTTTAAATTTTAATAAATTTAATTCAATTAGACGAAAAATATCTTGATAATACAAATATTATATTATAATAAGACATTTTTTACATCCCATTAATAAAAATAAAAAACAAATATTTATAAATTAAATTCATAATTTATAATGTTCAATGTTTATATTTTATAGTTTGCGAATGAAAATAATATCTTAAGGTCACCCCACACTGCAACAGTGGTGGTGAATTGTGTCTTGCTGTATTTTACCGTCACTGCTACTACTGCAGTGTGGTGGACTTTAATAGATTTCAGAGTTGTTTTAATTCCATCAACATATAGAAAAAGTTGTTTTTTTTAAATAGATATGTATATTACATGACAATCTAATGTGTTCTGTAAATTGTTATACTGAGTAATTTTGAACATGATTCAATTTTTTGTTATACCAATTACCAATCTTAAAATGTTTGGGAGTCGTATACTTGTATACATTTTATGAATATAATGTAAAAGTAAAATTTAACCATAAATATTTGCATAAAAAAATGTCTTGCTTTTATTTTTCTTAATTTAAAAATAATATTTGTGTTTTACACTCTGAAATTATTATATATACCTACATTATAGTAAATTAAAAACTCATACTAATAGAAAATATTTAACAATGTTAGGCCATTATTTATTATTAAATTAATCAATTTAAAAACCAATGTACATCTTTTAACTGTGTGTTTTAGTATTTATATTAGTAGATATAATTAGGACTAAGATTTTTTTATGCAATTGAAATCTGAAATATGTACTTTATTCAGAAAAATATGCACTAATATTAATTTTTCAATATATTATGTAATGGTTTATATACTTAAGCATGTAGTGAGTAAAAATTTAATTAATATGACAACATTTAAAAAAAATTAACACAGGCATACTGATATATTTCAAATTAATCATACTTAAAAAAAAAAAGAATCATCAATAGTTGGAATGCAAAATAAAGTGACTGGAACTCATCTAAATATCTAGATAATTGTTATACAATGTTACTGGTGCTAAATTATATTTAACCATTATAATTTGTGTTGGTTTTATTCTAAGGCTGAAATAGCCCTAGTTAGTTGTAGTTATGATCACCATCCATTATCCATATAATACGTAAAATATATAATATATAAATATATTACACAATATATTTTATTTAATAATCTAATTAAAATTTATTTATGTTTATCATAGGTCTATGATTTGTATAGAACTTTTATATTGTATTATTTTAAAATGTGTTTATTAATTTTCCATTATATTTTAAATATCTGTCTTTAGACAATAGACAGTATTGTCACAATTATTTTAAAACATAATTTGAAAAATCTGAAATAAATTATTTCAATTTTCATTGAATTAATAATTATTATTTTGTAAACTTTCTATTTAATATTACATAGGTCATAGGTGTATAGGACTTATTAAGAATTAATGGCATTACTCCTAAATAAATTTACATGCACTAGGGTTGATACAAAATAACAAATGATTGTGTAATATGGAACACTATAATTCTAATCCTGTATACATTTTGAAATTTTAATATTATTGCTAAATATTATACCCACTATTATCCCACACAGCATTTTAATATTTTCTAACTATGGTAAAAATATTTTCAAAAAAATAATATAGCTGTCAAAATATTTTTAAAAATTGCGTAAATAATTAGGAAATATTTTAGTTATACATATTCTTTGGCCAAAAAGTTCATAATTAGAAAATATTTTATAAAAAAATGTACAAAATATTTTAATCATATATTTTCAAAAAACATTTTCATGGAAACTTTATAAAAATATTTAGTCAACATTTTTATGCAATCATATTATTCATATAGTACAATACTATGTTATAATGAGAAGAACATATTTACACAATATTTAATGTCAAATATTCATTACCCGAGCAATCAAGCACTTCAAAATATGGTTTTATTTTTGCCCCCTCCTTGAACAGCATGTATAACCGCCACTGAATTAATAAAATATTGACTACAGTGGTGTAACTAGGGCAGTGGCGGCGGGATATAAGATTATTTGAAGCAATTGCTTCATTTCTGAAATAGGTGTGTGGGTGTATAAATATATATTATATAATAGCAAGACCTCAACAAAAATATCATGGCAAATATTATAATTAATAATTATTAATGGCCCATGCTGCTAATTTTGGTTCAATGAAGAGTGGTAAAAATATTTAAAATATACAATATGCTTCAAAGCCTACACAATTTCACGCCGCCACTGAACTAGGGGGTGGTTTATTAGCCCCCTTAGCCCTGACTATGATTTAGTCCTCCTAAAAAAATACCTTATTGATTTTATATATAAACTACCCGTATGGGTTATTTTAAGTAAATAGTATACTGTATAGTATTGTAAGGAGGGCTGTCTGTTTCTGCTCAAAATCGTTTTTCGTTAACAATGATATTATAACGTTGAATTAAAATTTAACGCATCCATTACAGTGACCTAATTGATACCTACTGTAAAATAGAGCGATATGCTGGTACCTACTTGCTAACCTTTTTTTTGTTGCTTATCCCAATTATTTTGAAAAGTACTGAAAAGTTTAAATCTTGACCTTCCAAAAGTACAAACTAGTTCACATTCCTACCAAAAAAGATAATAAAGTTGAAAATTGAAGCATGTTTTTCACTATAATTTGAGTACACATTTATCCATTCAGAATCTAAAATTATCAGTCATAGAAAGTTAGTAAATAGATTTAAAATGAAAATGTTTTAAATTTTGGTAAAAATTATTGTTACCTACTAAATATTTTAGTTTTTAACAATAGGTAAGATTAAACAATGTGTATTGCTCAGTTCCTTAAGTGTTGTCTGCATATAATTACAAGATAAACTTCATTAATGATGATTAGGTAACTACATTTAGATATTTAAATGAATAAAAGCAACTAAGGGTCTTGGTAACTTAATAAATTGATAATTTATGAAAAATATTTTACTCCAATTTTTGAGTAACCAACAAAAACATAGACTATACAGCGTACATATGATATTAAACTATTTTCCAATGTCCAATCATAGACATAACATATTAAATAAAAGTTTACAATTGTTCTAAACAAAAATGAATTGAGTTAATTACAAGGAAGCTTTCCACTATAGTATGTTTAAACATAATACTTATAGACATTATAGAACTGAAATCAGCATGAGGAATAGGAAAATCATTTAAGAAATGTATTTAAAAAACAAAATGTATGCATTACGAAGAATTATTTAATCAAAATAATATGTAACTAAATAGTTTATAATATATTATAAACTATACGGTTATAGTATCTTTTATGATATTCAAAATCAAGGTTATATACATTAAAAATTTTGTTGTAAATTAATATTAAATCACCAATTATTAAATCCATGAAAATCATAACCAATGACTTTCTTCTTCTTGCTAGGCAATTCTTCATTTTCGATCCTAATAAAATAAAATAAATTATAATGAAAAATTAAAATTCCATTATTGTAAAATACTTTTCTACTTTGGATCAATTAATGATTGCATACACAAAATGGAAATTAGAAACATGATGAAATTATAATTATTTCTATAAAAAAAAAAATAAATAATTATAAAATTCTTAAGAGGATATTTTTTTTTTCAATTTTTTGTTTCTCTTACAGATCCACGTGTAACAAAGATGAAATCTACTCAAATAAAATCTTTATTTCTCATTTTTGAGTAATCTTAAAAGTAAAATCACATATTTCAAATATAATAGAAGATAATATTTTGAAGGGTTTGATGACATATTGGTTTTATATTTTATTAATATTTGAGTAAAAATAAAAATTTGTTTTGTTAAATTAAATGAATGTTAAATTGTTTTGACAAAATATTTAGATGATACTACCCATACATTTGTTGTCTCCGTCTTACACACGCACGACATAGCAAATTGTCGTTCACTAGTTTCAATAGTGTGCTGTTAGTTTTGATACTAGAGTGAATTGACCTAATATAAAACTTTTAGGTAAGAACATTATCTGTGCTCAAGCGTTGCCGATTATTCAACATTTTCATTTTCAAGCAAGATATGGGTATTTGAAATATCAAAAATTAAAAATGCTCATATCTCCCTTGAAAATTAAAATATTGAATAAAAGCCAAAGCTTGAGCATAGATAATATTATTATCTAAAAAAAAGATAATAAATCAAATCACTCCAATACCAAAACTAACAGCACACTATTGAAACTAGTAAACGAAAATTTGACATGTCGTACGTGTATAAGGCGGAGACAACAAATGCATGGGTAGCAACCTCTTAAGACAAATCAATATGTCACACCCTCAAAATTATTATTTTCTATATTTTTTCAAAATTATTTTCTGTGAATTAATTTTGTCCATGTTGTGCATAAGCCAGTGACATCCTCTTAAACTCTATTTAAATAAATTAAAATAAATTACTTGTTTTTTTGTAAAGCTGAAGGGTTGATGTATTTCCCTACCCCAGTTTTAAATGTTTTGAGTTTAACTCCTGGAATTGCTATGCTTGATATTTTCTTTTCTTCTGTTTGTACAGTTGAAGCCATACTAGTTCCAGGTGTATTTATTAATTCCTCTTGCCTTTCTTCTGCTATCTAGATAGAAAAAAATAGGGAACGATTATTGTATAATAGCTATTTAATGCAGACACAATTTAACCAAACTATTTAGCATTTATATTTTATACCTTATCATCAACTTCTTGAAATGGATCAACAAATACATGAGTTTTCAGTATATTAATATCAGTGATTGGCCGATCTTTATTATCCACTTCGATTTCTTCAATTGCATTAAGTGTTTCAAAACCTCCTACTATACGTCCAAACACTGTATGTTTGTTGTCCAAATGCTTACATGAACGGTATGTTATAAAACTATAGCAATTGAACACATGCATTATTGATTACATATTTATATCTATACTAGTATACTTATATAATATCAATATGCAATATAATTGTTGTTGGAATACTAACAATTGTGATTTATTTGTATCAGGGCCAGAATTGGCCATAGACAACACACCTCGTCCAGAGTGGTTTAAATTTTGTTTAAATTCATCTTCAAAAGGCTGTCCCCAATATGATTCACCACCTTTACCAGTACCAGTTGGATCGCCACCCTGAACCATAAAATTACGAATGGATCTATGAAATTTTGTACCATCATAATAATCTTTTTGACAAAGTTTTATAAAATTTTCACATGTCTTAGGTACTTCTTTACAAAACAGTTCCAAATTTAATGGTCCATAATTGGTGGTTAATCGAACATAACCTGTAAAAATAAATCATTTTATATTATAATTTTTCAATAAAGTTCATCATTTTTCATACACAACAATTTTGAAACATCCTAACTCACCCTTTTTTTTTATACGCTCAAATCGGATTTCATTCTCTTCTATAATTGCTGATTCATGTTCCAGCACTGGAACCATTGCTGTGGATGTAAAACTAGCAGCTACACGGCCAGTAGAGTAATGAGCCTTAAAAAAGAATAACCCATCAATAGAAAATTTAAATTAGGTATACAATATTATTATTTGATACTTACTGCATTTAATTTATCTGGTTTTTGTGCTACTACTTCTACTTTTTTTGCTGGTGCCTTGTAATCTCGATCCAATGTATCCAATATATCTCTTGTAGTTTTCGACACTGATTTTAAACGCCCTTCTGGGTCTTTAGACTGTGCTTCTTCATCTAAAATATGAAATATAAAAATTTCAAATCAACTATTTATAGTGAATATCTCATGATAAACAATTATAATTTTAATTATTCGTACCTGGATCTACAACTTTGATTTTTTTCACAACATGATGGAATTTTGCAATATTAAATTTTGTCAAATTAGTTGGATCTTGAAGTGTGATCATGTCTTTACGCAAGAATGGTTCGTCTGTTAAAAGATCTTTCCAGTTTTTTGTTTTAATATTCAATTGCTCTATAGCCTGAAAGTGCATACATTTAATATAAACTATAGATAAAATAATTGCGCAACATATTTACCTCATATGAAAAAACATTTCCCGTTGTCTTGATTGCTATTATGTGCGAATGTTTAGTTAAGGATTTGAACAAGACTGGGCAATGATACTCGCCTGCTGCATTACGATGGAAGTTCAACTTAATTAATTTTTTCAACTCTATCGGCTAATAAATAATATAAGACAATTTATAATAATTACATAACATAAAATAAATGTTAAAACCATATTTACCTTTCCCGTCACTGGGTTGTGTTTAAACTGTTTTATATATTCAAGTAATGCCTCATACTCAAAAATATTACCGTCAGGGTCACAGTATGGTGTCTTGAAAGCGACAAGCGATAGACAACAATGGTCAAAAGGCAATCGAGCAAATTTTGGCTTTTCAATGCCGGGTCTTTTGCCACCATAGAGTGTTGACCATTCTGTGTACGTGAGGTACCTAAGAATAAAAATTGAAAATACATAATAAAGTAATTAATGTAGTTAGTAGGTGGATAGTCTATAAGGTATATGTTTTTAACAATCATACAACAAAAACTTACATTTTATCCTTCTGATGTTGTCTCTTACCCATTTTGAACGATTTATTTCAACAACAAAATCAAAAATGTACAGGATACTACTTGTAAATATCACTTTAATACTTGACAGTTATTAGTATTAATCATTAAAAACCTACTTACTAACATTTTGTCATATTTTATGTTCAGTATTTTAAATTTAAAAAATAATATAATAACAAAGGTTTAAGATATATTATCTTAAATCGTGATAATAACCAAGGTGTGTTGATAAGGACATAAAAAATATAAATTCTGCAACTCAACTAGGTACCTATTTGCAAACAAAATGTTTGTCTTGGAGATACATCTTAGTCCGGGTTATAAATCGTATTTGAAACGCTATCTAACAAAGAAATTAAGCAGTTGCAAGGGCAAGTTCTTTGGAGGTTAGATGGCGCTGCCATTATCGAATTAATTTAAATCTAAATAAATTTTTTTTTTTTTTTACATGTTATCGGTCGGCTGAGGGTGGCACTGACGTTAGTCATTTCACCCCTCAGTGACCATCATTTATTGAAAATAATACAATTACAAATACATTTGACCACTCACAGGGACAGTCCCCCTACTTGTGGTCTCACAATTTAATATGTTTATACATATAACGAGGGGCTCTATCCCCTCAGTTTTTGCTTTAGCGTACAATACATACTTAACAACTACGTTAAACAGGTAGACCTTTCCGCCTCCTCTCTTCATTCTCCTTCTTCGTTAGTACATGATGAATGAAATTGGCTATTGCATTCCATCTGCCCCTCGAGTGGATCATGTTGCTCACCATGTTCTCCGCGTTCACCTCTTCTCCGATGAGCATGTTCAGCTCCCTTCTCCTATTATGCCATGCATCGCATTCGAAAAATGTGTGGTTTGGGTCGTCGATCGTATGTCCACAGAACCAGCAGCAGGCTTCGTGTAGCAGACCAAACCTGTGGAGGTACTCAGCGAAACAGCCGTGCCCTGTAAGTGCCTGTGTTATGTGGTAATCGACTTCCCCGTGTCTTCTACCGGTCCATACTCTGACGTCTCGGATTAGACGCCGCGTCCAATTTCTTTCCTCTGTAGCTTCCCATCTGTCCTGCCATTTGTCCAGTGCCGTTTGCTGTGGCTCTCCTTCTGTTTCGAGTGACTCCTGTTCTCCTCTCCTCTGGACATAGGACCTCCGTCTCTCCATTGCCTGAATGTCGATGGGAGTTATCCCAGATACTACAAGGATTGCCTCTCTTGATACCGTGCGGTATGCAGAGGCAACCCTTAGCGCCGCTTTCCTCTGCACTCTTCCTAGTTGTTTCCATCCCTCCTGGCTCATGTCCTCCGCCCATGCTTCGGCTCCGTAAAGGAGTTGGGAATGGATTACGCCTGCTAGCAGCCTTCTCCTGTGTTGCCTCGCGGCACTCAGGTTCGGCATGATCCTCGCTAGGTGACACAGAGTGTTACCCGCTTTGGTCGCTGCTCTCTTTGCGTGCTTCGTGTACATCATTTTGGCGTCAATCTGTATTCCGAGGTACTTGATACTGCCGCTGGATTTGATCTGGGTATCCTTTATGTTGACTGTTATTGCATTGTGCTTCCTAAACCTCGTAATTACTACCACTTCGGACTTGTGCGCCGCTAGTTTAAATCTAAATAATAATACCGGCGAATTAAACCTCACTAAACCTAACTAAACCTAACTAAACCTAACTAAACCTAACGAAACCTAACAAGACCCAACTGAACAATGTTGACTTTCGGTCACGGAGTACCTATATCCACAGAACAATATCACATTTTAATGCTATATCACATTTTCAGATTCTGAGTGAACGATGAAATATGAATGTATTGATTTTACAATGTTGTGTGTTTTTTTATTCTTTATTTTTATGTCTGTGATCATGATTAGTAGTCAAAATAATACTTAAATTTTCAACTTCATTATCTTGTTAGATGGGAAAGTGAATATCGTTGGTGCATTGGGGAGGTCAAAATTTAAATATCCCAGTACTTTTCAAAAGCGCCAAGAAAAACAAAAGAAAAATTAAGGAAAAACGGGAATTTTTACGATAAATCGATTTTTCAGAAAATTGAATTTGGTTTTTGGTGTAACTTTAAAACAAATGACCGTCGATACATGAAATTTTCACTGGTTGTTTATATTTGCATTTTCTATACACGATAACATTTTCAAAATATTTTGATTTATTTTGAACTGTTTAGGGACATTTTTATTTTTCATTTTTTTTTAGTTTTTTTTCTAGAAATATCAATAAAATTTTATTTGTTGGTTAAAAAAACTTGAAAATTTAATAGAAGGCTCCTAGCATATTGTTTCAAAGGCAGATGAAAAATATTAAAAATCGTTAGTCACAGTTTTTTTTTATAAGCATTTAAAGTTCAAAAATTGACAAAATATGGAAAAATCACGAAAATTAGCAAATTATTTTGAGTTAAGAATTCGTAAAAATTTTTCTTTATCTTTACCTTTATCAAAAAAAAAAATGTCTACAAGAAACTCAAATTAAATTTTTATGAGCGTTTGAAATTCAAATTTTTACAACATTGGATGTTCACTCGATTTCTCATGTAGCGATTTCCTTATTTTGATGTTATTCATAAACGAATAATTATAGATACTTACATGAAAATTTCACTGAATGTTTATATTAGCATTTCCTATACACCATACAATTTCGAAAATATTTTGACTCTTTTTGAGCTGTTACGGATATTTTCATTTTTCAATTTTTTTAGTTTTTTTTCCTATGAATATCAATAAAGTTTTATCTGTTGGGCCAAAAAGTGTAAAAATTTAATACAAGGCTCCTGATATATTTTTACAATATTAGTTGAAAAATATTAAAAATACATAGGCACAATTTTTTTTATAAGCATTTAAACATCGAATTTTGACAGAATTTTTCAAAATCTCGAAAATTATTAACCTTCGTAATTAATAAATTATAAAATGTTCAGTTTTTATAGCTAAGGGTTGAAAATTTAAAACAAGATACCACGTAAGTAGTTAATTCTCTTACCGAAAAATCTAAAAAATATACAATCACAGTTTATTGTTATAGTCATTTTATGTTCAAATTTGGACGACATTACATATTAAAAAACCTATTTATTTTGTTGTGATTATATAATATTATTCGTGGGTACCTACTTGAAACTTCTAAAGTGTACTATTATATATTTATATATCTATGAATTATGATAGTATCAGGGTTTGTTATTGATGTTGATGTATAACGTGTTATAAGTACCTAATTTATATTGTGATAATGTGATATGATTAATTTGGAATTTATTACAGGTCAATTTTTTTTTTAATACCATATAGATATGTATATAATTTGTCTTAAACCTAGGTCCTAGACTGACTTACAGTCTTCGATCAGAATCATTTTTCTTATACAATGATATTGTATCATTGAATTCAAATTTAATACCTACCATCCATTATACAGTGACCCACTTGTAACCTACTGTACAGCAGAGCGACATCCACTTACCCACCTTTTTTTTTTAATTTAAATATTTTGTAGTTTTGTACATTGCCAGTATCTACAACCACTCCAGAGAGATCTTTTTCAACCTTTTTAAGGTTGAAAAGCTATCTAAAATCAACTATGAATGAAGTAGGTAAATAATGTATTTTAATTTTTAGGAAATATTTGTATAAAAGTTATAACATAACTAAATATATTAGATTCTGAGCGAAGTAAGGGATCTATTGGTTTTAGGTACAATGGTGTTTATTTTTTTTTTCCTGTACCTATACAAAATTTCTACCAGAAGGAGTGCTTCGATTTTAACATATTTAGACATATATAGTATCTTATCTTTTAGAAAATTGGATCAAGATGGTACTTTAAAGAGGTCATTTTTCGATTTTCTCAATAGTTGTTTAATGCCTTTAATGCCACGGGAAGAACCACCAAAAAATTACGAAAAACCGCTGAAAATGGGATTTTAATTTCTAACGCTTTGTCTATCACCATAGAAACGAATAAAAAAAAAAAAAAATTAAGTGCCATATATTACTACTAATTTATTATAATAGTAAGTAATATAATATGTAAATAGGCTCTTAAGTCTTAATATATTGTTTCAAAAAAAGATAAAAAATATTGAAAATTCAGTCACAATTTTTTTTAATAAGCATTTAAAGTTCAAATTGTGTAGTTAAAAATGTATAACATGTTCAATTTTTATAAAAATTGAAAATGTGAAACAAGGTTCCACGTAAATAGGTTATGTATAAATTACTTTATTCACAATAATATCATCGATTAATATACTTAGACCTTAGAAATATCTTATATCATAGTCTTCGCTCATAATCGTTTTTCTTATACAATGATATTATATCATAGGTGCAATTTCCACTTTTTGTTTGAGGGAGGCTGAATTTACTAAAGGCAAGTAGACCATTGCATTAAAGCATATTAAAATTGGATGTTCTAGGTTTTTGTGCTATGGCTAAGTTTTTGGGGGCCTAGCCCCCCTTCAACAGTGTAACCTACTGTACAGCAGAGTGACACCCACTTGCCCACCATTTTTTTAATTTTAAATTTAATAAAATTGTCAAAAATCAAACTTTAAAAGCTTATAAAAAATTATTTTAAATTTTTTAATATTATTCAACTGCTTTTTAAGCAATATATCAGGAGCTTCTTATTAAATGTTGATGCTTTTTCCCAACAAATAAAATGTATATGATATTTATAGAAAAAAAACTAAAAAATTGTTTCAAAATATTTTAAAAATGTTATCAATTATATTAACCTTTAGGAATTGATAAAATAAACATATGATATGATAAAGATCATATAGATCTTAAAATAATATGTCTTCTGTTAATTGTTATTCGTTTTTGAATTTCAAAAAAATAAAAAAATCGCTACATGAGAAATCGAATGAATATCCTGCAATGTTGTAAACATTTGAACTTGAAAAGCTCATTAAAATTTAATTTGACTTTCTCATATAATTATTCTGTGGTAGACATAAACATATAAATGTTCTA